AAAATAACTTTATAAAGAAAACTTGATCAGAAACAGATCGATATTTACAAAGTTTGAAAACATGTGAAATATCATGTCAATTGTCTGAGTGTTTTACATAAATATCATGATAATCATTGCCATTCGTAAGTTTTCATGTTCAGTCTATCCTTTACTAGTAATAAATGTATGGAATGTATTTTTATAAACCATTTAATTATACTAATTATCATGTATACAATAAATTCTTCTGATTTTTTTTTCGTAACGTTATATAATTGATGACCTTTAGATGTGGTTTCAAAATGGAGTATGTGTACATGCGCTTGACGTTTATTACCTTTTATTAAAAATAAATATTCCCTATACTATTATAATAACATGCAGTATTTAATTTAGGAGATATTCATATTTATGAAAAGAAAGGTTAGAAACGTCAAGCGCCTGTGTGATGAATCTCTCTCTCTCTGAGCCATCGATATTTAAAATTTCATTTCCCAATTTTTACATTCAAATTTCAAATATTTTTGAACATTTTAAGTTACACACTTTCGTCCATGAAAAACATGAAACATATGGAGATAACGAACAGTATTCAAGATCAAAAGTCCGTAAAACAAAACAAAATAGGAGCAGAGCAAAAATACAGACTTCCAAAACATCAGAGGTGGGATCAGGTGCCATGGAGGAGTGAGCATCCCCTGCCGACCGGTCACACCCGTCGTGTGCTCCTTGTCATGATCGGGAAAAAATGGAAAAATCCGTCGTCTATCCAGTGTATAAATGATGAACTAACAATCTCGTAGTATGAAAAACGTCAATCAGCATTTAATAATAAATTGTATTTGCTGACAAGGTCATTGTATCGAGCATAGATGTAGAACTTACGAAATGATTTTAAACGAGACTGCTGATATTCTTGTTTCGTAACTTGTTTGTCAATGACTTACCTCGTCTTAATAAGAAATTGTTCATACGTAGAGAATGCTCCTGCGTATCGAATCAATTGGGAGATATAAACCTTGTATGTAGGTGAAAAAGATATTTTGCTGCACAAATACGAGAAGTTGATGATTGATAAGTTAAGGGGGATGTACGGCCACTTTTAGTGCAGTGAGAGCAAAATGTAAACATTTCTTCAAATGGCTAAAATACATTATATTTTGATCAAATTTTAAGTCTTTTTGATAAAGATACAATAAATATGCATAACCGAATGCATGTTGTGCATATATAATCTATACTTTTGCAGAAAAATGCTTTTGATATGCTCCTTAGAACTGCGCAGCTACAGAATTCAGCAGAGCCTTAAAAAATCCAAAAAAATATGCAAACTGTGCATTGATGTTCTCTCTACAACCATTTGTTGAGAAAATGTCTAAATTTTGCACTTTTAAATGATAATTTCAAGTTCAAAACAAGGTACCATTGTCTTCAAAAAGAGTGTAAAGAACCATGAAAGTAGTTCATGGATAGCAGCACGTGGTCTATTTTTAGCACAGAATCTTGTTTTCCAGACCTCTTCTTAATATGGAGGGGCATAACAATCTTTAAATGTAGAAGAGAATTACAGTTGCAAAATATTTCAAATAATATAAACACTTTTAAAAGAGGAAAGGTGCTATAGTGTGGCTTGAAGTAATTTATTTAGTATTAATATCGAACAGTTGTTATATAGTTTACGTATTGATATAAAAAAAAATAAACTCTTTGATTCCAGGTAAGGAAAAATGAGCACCATCAAAGTTAAAAATTAAGAGTTTGTAAGTTTGCCACAGATAAATTATATTATCTATTAAAATTTAATTATCTACAATAAAACACAAAGAAATTAGACACATAAAATTGACTGATACGAATGACCTTGTTTTAGTACCTACTAGTACGAAGCGTTATCAAAAATTTCGCGAAATATCTCCATATCTACAAAACCACAGTTCAGATTAGATAGCCAAACACAAGTTCTATAAATAGCATATGCTGAAGTTTTGATCCTTGTTTGTGATGTCACAATCTGAAAATGACGTCATTATTCAGGTACTTTTGACGAAAAATGGTTGTCTCAGTGGAACTCGTTCAACAATTATGGCACATGTATATCTTAGAAATGCCTTTGAAGTAGCGTATAAGAATTTGTTCATGTGAAGCAGTTTATTAAATGGCTTCCTATAATTTCAATCAATGATTGGATATTGTTTTAGTGAAGGAAGGCAGATGGTTAAATATGATACTTGTTATGTTGCCCGGTGAAAGCAAGTTTGAAAAGGGATGTGTTTTTAATAAAGCAATATGCTATCAAAGACCTTCAATTAAAATTTTACACTTTGAAAAATACTTGAATATTTCAACAATAATATAAATATCAAATACCTAAGATATTGTTTACTTTTTGATCACCCCTCGTATACTGTGTCAAATAAACATGCATTTATAATTTTCATTACAGAGGAGCAACAGTTGAAAATTGGCATGAAATCATTCAGAGTGGGTTAGGAGATTTAATGAATAAATTTTTTTTTCTATTTGCCCATATTTTCAAAATTACAATTGTACAAAGTAAAGAGAAAAAATCAACCTATAAACATCTTTAAAATGATGTTTGGTGGTCCTCCCAACTCAGGAAAAAATTATTGGGTCCGTATTTATAGGTGAGAAAAAAAATCCTTAAAATTTAAACAGAATTGTTGACGGAAGAAAAAGAAAAAATATCGTGTAATGGAATGTTAAAAAAATGAGTCGGGCCATTTCTAGGCAGTAGATCGGGAGAGAGGGCAACCAAATATTTTTATAACAAGTGGTATTATAAGGCTAGTACATGTTCCATCACATACTTAGTAATGCAATTTTTTTTTAATCTTTGACACTATTTTGAAAAACAAACAAAGGATTTTCGGGGGTGGGGGGGGGGGGGTTAGCACTCACTTTTTTTGCGATGATAGACATAGCATATGCAATGGACCTTTCTTTGCAAACATTGTGCTCGCTTCTAAATTTCATAGAAACAACTCATTATATTTTATCAAGCTTCGTATGTTCAATGAGCGAGAGCTTACAACGTTGTCAACATAATGAGACATGATACGTTTTTGTGTCCAAACATGACCCCATACAATGTGTGGGTCATTGCAAACATTCTAGCTATTTATGTGAGGTGCCTGAAGGAAATCCTATAACTGCCTATTTTTTCTATCTAACTTCTAAACAAAATAGACATATGTACCAACTTTTCGAATGTAAGACATGTAATTACAATTTATTTTTCATGCACTGCATATTGTTTAACATTTTCAAATTAAATGCTAAGCATCCTCCTTGCAGTGCCCCATTTGAAAATAACTTCTATCGCCACAGAAAAAAGACCCACCGTAAACACATATGTTTAGGACATTTTTATCTTTTTTTCTTGAGTTTTAAAGAAACCAACAAATTATCAAGACTTGTTCCATAAAAATTGAATATAATCATGGTAATAAACGGATTTATCCACAGCAGATATATGCACATGCCAACCATGTGCTTAGTGGAATAATATATTAACGAGGAATTTCGAGTTGTAAACAGAACAGTTTTTCCCGATTTGCTGGACTGAGGTTAAATTCGCGTTTTTTCATTAATCAGACGATGCGATACAACAAATAAAAGTAGTAAGTAATATAACCTAATGATTATTACTTAGTAATTTCTTGTCTTGATGTTATTATGGTCGCATTTATTCTTAAATCATTGTTATTCGAACTCTGTGTGACAGAGGAATGGCGGACGAAATAAACACATGGCCTCAGGAAGACACCCATATGAAAAATCAAATTTTCAAGAATTATGGATAATGACAAGAAAAAAACGAAACAAATGGTTGTAGCCATATTATCAATGAATCAAACTAACTCCATTTTCAATGCATTTTTCATCTCATGAATGCTGTAGCTGCGCAGTTCTAACATGATTAATTTTCTTCTAATTAAGACAAAATAAACTTAATTGTTTACTAATTTTGGTCTGTAACAGTAGGTAATTAGTGCATTAGCACTTTGAGTAACTTTGAGCTAGTTTAGTAGAGTATTAAGCGCATTCTTGGTATTTCTTAGTTTACACCAGACTAGATCCAATATGGCTTGTACATCCCCCTTAAAGTCATCAAGTTTACCATAAAGCCTCGGTGTTAGGTTAACATAACCTTCTTTTTCTAGTAAAATATCCAAGTATGAAACAGTTGTGTAAGACTATGTGCTATCTCTAATTTCAAGGTCGACATATGAATGGAATAAACAATTGTTATTTGATAACACGTCTTCGATATATCTAAATGTGGAGTTAAAGGCAACAACAAGTGTTTTCTTTTTCTCGTGTATAAGATTTTAAATAAATTCTGATTCATATGAATACAAAAATAAGTCTGCTAATAACGGGGTGCAAATGGTACCCATGGAAATTCGAACGGACTGTTAGAAGACCTGGTCTGAAAAAACACATACTGTAAAATCACGTATTTTAGAGGGGTCAAATTTTTGAGGTTTTAGGAAAAATATTGGTTTATGGGGATTTAATTTTGTGGTTGGAAAAATGTGTAGTAGTAATGCATATGCAATTTTACATTTCGTGATGGACATAAATTCGTTGGTCTCTCCATACCTCAAAAACTACGAAAATTAATCCCCCACAAAATTAGTGATTTCACAGTAGATATTGTCAATCAGAAACTCAAGCAAGAAGCACCATATATATCTACAATAATGTAGCCTTCTGCGAGGGGGGGGGGGGGGGCTTTATTTCGATTTATTTTTTCTAAAGTCACAAAACATGCAGCAAACGATCAAAATTACTTAACACAAAATATATAACTAAGATTGCCTCTCAATAATTGTCATCAAAAATTATATTAATCTCTTTTTTTTATTTTATTCGTTTAAAATCTAATTGATATTTTTGCTATTGCTGATTCAACTTTATTATATTTTTGCGCCAACATTAGAACATGTTTTAACAAGTGTCAAGTAGGAGCTTTATTAGTTTGTATGCATATCTTTAAATGTCAGTGTCTCAAAGGTCTTCCTTGGTTTTCCTTAAATTTTACCTTTAATGGTAAGTTAAAGAATTTCTTTAGAAAGATATTTGAAGACGAAAGAAACATTTCCTTATCAAACCTTTAATCAAAGTTTGGTTTTGAAACGTAAACGTTATATGTGTACATATTTTATTATGCAATATTTAAGACTATGCGAGTTTAGATATGTAAATATCTTATTTTGGGATGTGTTTGTTAAATAAAGTACTTTTATAGGATATTTCCCTCTAATGTTCAATTTTTTTACCCTTTTTTTTTTTTTATTTTTGATGTTAAAGGATTTATTTACGACGCAGAATAAATCAAAGAGCTGAGGTAAGTTGCATAAAATCACCGATTCTCATGAAGTTCAAATTATACTGACACGCAAAAGAAACGCATCAAGCAGTAATCTACAAATGTTTGATTTTTTTATCTAATGATTTTCAAAAGCGAATAAAGTAAGGCTAAACCCACTTTTCGGAACATCAGAGATTTGATAAAAATGTTAAATGTTTATCTTTTAACTTTATTAAGTAACATATGACTGTTCAAACACTCCCCACAGCCATTCAAGTAAAACGTGCAAGACTGCCCTAAACAACAATTGCAGCTTAATTTCTACGATACAATAGCTTCATTAATATCGAGATCTGAGCGAAGGAAATATTCTTTGGCATTTTTAAATGCCCGTTTTCAGATGATTTAGGCGAATTTTCTCTAACTTAGAGCAGTGTAGCCACCCTAGGACTTCCGGTACAAGGACTGTCCTTAATACATATGATCCATAAGACCATGTTGTGGCGTAATGTAGTGAAATTTCGCTTCAGCAATTCTCCATCACCTTTACATTGAAATTTCCCAGCTAGAGCACTGGAAACGCGTACATAAGCCATTTTCAAGTAGCCTTAGCGTCGTCGTGGGAAACGAAAGGAGAGTTTTTTATTTTTTGAAATTTTGCTGCATTTCTTATGATGAACAGTCAAAAACTCTTAAAACTCCAAAATATTGCCAAATGTTTTGTTAAACATTCAATTTTTGATTTCTGTTAAGCAGACATAAACTTGACTTCCGGTTATGGTTTGCAAATCGTTCATCTGTTTAATTACCGATGTTTGCCAAATTGAAGATATTCATAAGTCTAAGTTACAAAATTCTACACTTTACATAATTATTTCCCCCTAAAGTGGGGTGTTGCGTTTCTTTTGCGTGTCGGTATAGATCAATGATAAAAAACATAAACATGCATCAATTACGTAATAAATCAGCTCGGTGATACTTTAATAGGTTCATTTAAAAAGAACTCGTTTTAGGCATTATCTGCAAATGAAGCTCAAAAAAGATTTTTAAAGTCAAAACCACTAAAGAATTAAACTGTGAAACAGCCCTTTATGTTCCAATATAAACAAATTGTGCATTTGAATCACCTGTAAATATTTTAACAAAATGTCTACTGATTTCATTGTTTAACTGTGAAATTACGTGCCTGAATACTCCTGCTTTTTGCATATTATTTCGAAAAATAAATATTATGATTAATCTTAAGCTTTTAAATTTGAATCAAACCTTTAAGTTAAGTCAAAAAGATTAAAAAACAAAAAGTGATATGCAGTTTCTCTTGATAGTCAAATATACAGCTCCGCGAACATTTTATGCTCATTTTTTTCATAATTCTTAAAGTAACATTCATCTAATAAAAATATCTCAATCTAAATAATAACAATTAATATTATTTATTCAAAGTACAATAGAATAAACCTGAGATATATTTGATATTTTATGTCAAGTCTACAAGCTCCTTAGAAACATAATCTGAAGTTTTCAAAGGCAAATTTAACAATATATGTCACGGTGTAACAACTATGATGATTCTACCATGGTATTCAAAAACTGAATTATCATTTGAAAAAAAAAATTCCAAAATCGTATGGCGAATCTCGTTTGAAGCTAGACTTCAAATAGTTGCTTTGAAAAATATCAATAATTGAATTTATCAATAAATGTCATGGTGTAACAACTATGATGGGTCCATGGGTATTTAAAAATTGAATTAGTCGAGCTTTCTTTGATACAAATTGGCTGAAATAATTTAATTAACTTCCTAACGGTGAAAATTTTTTCTACGTTCTGTCTTTATTCATCATTCTCGTCTCGATTTTATCAAAATGTAGTACCGAAAACGGACATGACTGCGATTGGATACAATGCAAAAAGTTAAGGTATATACGTAAATTGTTTTTATAAATGTGTTACTGTAAATGAGAAACAGAATGAAAGAGGTTTTAATGATTAAAAAAAATTACCAGTATTATTACTGTAGATTCCTAATTATATGCAAATAATTAATTTACGCGTAATTTCGCGAGAAGCATCCCTCGCGAAAAAAAAATTCTCTCTTTTATTTTGATGGTGCTGAAATCTATGAAAATTCTGCTAATCAACCGTCCATTCACAAATTATAATTCTCACGATTTGACGTTAAAGAGCCAGTTTGCAAAAAAAAAAAAAAAAAAAAAAACTCGCGACAAATAAGGAATCTAATGTAAAATGAAAATTGTTACTTTTTAATATCTTTGAATCTAGATTAAATCATGTATCGACAAAGAAATATTGCATGATCACGTACTCTAAATGGAAATTGAAAAGGAATTGCTAAGAAAAAGAGGATGATGTTGAAATATTACCTTTATACTATAACTATACTATAATAATACCTTATAAGTATGATCCAGAGTGGAAATATGTCAGTAATTTATATTTAAAAAAGCAATAGGCTTCTTCCTTGTAATATGTTGTAAAAGAAATTGATTTTTGAAAAATTAGTCTAGCTTTCGCAAACCTTATTTGAGAATGGTTGTGCTAAATGCAAAAAGTGTAATATCATAATACATGTTTCAGCTTGAATGCCAGTGAGTATGAATGCAGTAAGAATCGATTATTATGGTATAAAATTATAAATTCAATACAACTGATAATTTCAAAAATCTCTTATCCATATTTTGATAATGCATGATTGCATCATTTCATAGCTAAAACATTCTTCATAGACCTGTAAATGCGTCACATGGGACCGGTTACATTTTTGTGTGTGTGTGTGTGTGGGGGGGGGGTGATACTTACATCCTTCCCACTGTTGAAACTGTTGCTTCAGAGACATAAATATGGTTACTACAGGCTTGTTCCATCCCTTTACCTCTACATATCTTTTGCGTGATGTAAAACGTGTAAGAGAAAAGGCAATTACATGTAACTGAAAGAAAAATTGCTTGAAATTCTCTATGCTTACATTACTTATTCTTCGAAAGAAAGTATGCTATGCACATCGTTTGAGTTTTAATGGACATCGTTTATCGAAATATCACAGTCGTGTACACGTTTATGTTTTCATAATGCAAGTTGAACTTATGTAGACTTTCAGTTTTAAAATTTATCTGAGCATAGCAAAATAGTTATTAAATTTTTTGACTTTGAATATATGGATGGCATTGTGTTTTATATCTGTTTGAAAAATGGTTAAGAGAAAAAAAAAACATTTATGCGTTGCACAAACTCTCTGTACTTAACTTCTGTTAGGTTTAAGTGTGATATTAATTTGATCCGCCACATTCAAAAATTCGTTTAACAAATTCTTGAATTGGTTATAATGAATTCAACAAATCAGAAATAACAGATTGAATTCGTTATAACGAATTCAATAAATCTGTAATAACAAATTTAATTCGTTATAACGAATTCAATAAATCTGTTATAACAAATTTATTTTCGTTATAACGAATTCAATGAATCTGTTATAACATATTTGATTTGTTATAACGAATTCTAAAAATCGTTATAACGAATTCAAAAATATTTTTGATAGGTCCTAAATGGGCTTCCGTAGGTTTATGTTTTTTTGAAAAGTGAAATTTGTTTTTGTAGTTTCACAGATAATTGCCAGTTTAAGCAATAATTCTGCAGTTTGTTTAGTGTGTTCTGTAAACCACTATGTGACTCTGAAAGCAGAACAAGGTCATCTGCAAAGCTTAAGCTAGATACATGTGTATGTTTGAGTATGAGTGGATCACATGACTGATCAAAAATGTTATGTAGGTCATTAATAAAACAGTTAAATAAGGTTGGACTTAAACTATCCCCTTGATTTGCCCCTCTTTCTAGTTTAAAATAATTGGAATGACTGTTTTTGAACTTAAGAATTTTGGCCAGTTTGACTGTTCATTAATTTGTATAAAACGCCCTTATGCTAAACTGTGTCAAATGCTTTGTGCAGATCTACAAAGCATGCATATATTTTTGTCTTATTTCGAACGATATATTTCATTATTAAAGTTTAAAGTACAAAAAGGCTGTCTGTAGTTGTGTGTTCTGTTCTAAAGCCAAATTGCTGTTTTGAGAATAATTTATCATAATGTAGCATAAATCTTTTATTAAGTGTAGCACTAAAAAGTTTTGCCATTACGCTCTGCAGTGAAATACCTCTATAATTAATAAAGTCATTCTCATCTCCAGATTTATAGATGAGAATAATGAATGATTTTCTCTATGCAGATGGGTATTCTCCAGTATTCAATATTAAGTGAAATAGTTTAACTATAGATTTACAAGTAACCACTGAACAATGTTTTAAAGGTACTTGGACACAGACTTGAAGTTATTATTTTCTCTATAATATTACGACTTATATATTTTAAAAGCATTTCACACAAAAATTAATTAAAAATCTAATACCATACAAAAGATATTAAAATTTCAAATTTTTTGCGGGTTTGATTGACACATCCTTGCATTTTCACAAATTAATTTTATTCTTAATCCTTAGGAAAAGTGGCAATCTCGTTGTGTATAAATGAAAAATATTAATACTTTAATCCAGAAAATTCAGAGTAGACATGTTCGAAAGCAAAACAAACACACAGTATATTGTCAGTCCGTGCAGTTGTGGTAAGCAGACTGTGACGATTGAACGCACCCGGTGAATTCTAAATATAAACAATAACAGAACTCGAGCCCTGTTTACAAAAACTTTGTACATAGCACGAGT